TTATTATTATTTTAGTTAAACCTAAATTATATACAACTGAAACAGAAATAAAAGTGAAGAAGTAAATGTAAAAAATAATCCATTTAAAACTGTGATTTTATTTGCTTGGCTGGGAATGGGAAGGAATTTAAAATAGAATGGGAATAGAATACGCGATGGGGTATTCATGCTACTTATATAAACTATATACAAAACCGATGAGCGACTTTGATAATTCATTAATGATGAATGATCCAGCTAATGAGGTATCTTAGCTCTAACTGAGATAGACAGCTTGGTTCTGAGCAAAGATTATTAAAGATTAAACATAAATGGATCCAAAAAGTCAGAGATATCTGCTTTTGCACTGAATACAGATTAGCTTAGCTAGGCTATAGCTAAATGAATTATGATACTTATTTTAATGAGACGTAAAAGTTTTCTATATATGTGTTTAATCAAATAAAAACAGTTCTAAGAAAGGCAAAAGATTAATGTGAAATATAAACGAAAATGAGACAGAGAGGGAGAGAGATAGAGATTGACAGAAAGAGATAGATTGCGAGAAAAGGAGGGAGAGATTGAGAGAGAGAGCAAAATATATAGAAAGAAAGATTGAGAGACAGACAGAAAGTGACAGAGAGAGAAAGAGAGAGAGAGAGAGAGAGAGTAGGAAAGAGACGGAGAGAGAGAGAGGGAGAGATAGTCAGATTGATATAGAAAGAATGAGAGAAAAAGAGAGAGCAATAGCGAGATAGATAAAGAGATACAGACACATAGGGTGGAAGAAAACATGAAAAATTTAGAAAGAGAGAGTGGAGATAGAGAGATGAGGTAGCGAGAGGGAAAAAGGTCGGGATAGGGATCGCGACTTAGTGAGAGACTGACAAGAGGTTAAGAGTGTCAGGAAGAGATATAGAATAAGAGAGAAATATGATTAGAAAGAGTGAAACGGTTATGAAAGACAGAGACATAATTGGAGCTTTAATAGAATGTTATCCCTAGTTCTCTAGTCATTAGAGTTGACTACTAAGAAAGTTTGAACTTGATACAAAGAAATTTAAAGAAAGGCATATAATGAGCGAGTATATTACTCATGAGCTCTGTCTCATCCACAAACCCAGTACAACCAGTAGGAGAAGAAGAAGAAGCAACGTGATAGTTGAGGTGCAGCATAATATAGTGATTTATCAAAAGAGATAGCGAGATAGCGCGCTCTAGTCACACAGCTAGCAAATTATATGAACTGCCAAGTTAATAAGCATTCTGGCCAACTGTTGCTGCCAAAGTTAAAAATCTGCCAAAAAGAAAAGCAACAGGCAGCAGCTGGAGCAACAAACAAGTTAAACAGCTGCCAACAGGCGCCGCCCAACATTCAAGGTCAAGTGCCAAGTGAAAGGGATGTCAAAGTTGTTGTTGTTGTTGTTGCTGGCGTTGATGGTGAAAGAAAACACTTACTTTGGCACTTAACAGCTTAACACATCAGTTTACACGAATGCAAAACTCGAATCGAGCAGCAGTTGCTGTTGCAGCTACCAAAGGGGGAGTGGCTAGAGTCAAACCGAAAGCCAAGGGCCAAGAGCGAAAGCCATAGCAAAGCGGGCGCTTAGCCAACTCGAAAGGGGATGCTGAAGATAGAGCCATAGAGAGAGAGAGAGAGAGACGACCCTCAGCGTGTGCTCTGCCGTCATGACAAACGTTCAACTGTAATGCTCAAGGTCATTTGGGCCAGGCCGCAGTCAAAAGGAGCTCTCGTGTCCAGGAAGCAGACATTGCGGCGGAAGCAGCCAGCAGCCAGCAGCACCCCATGCAGCATGCAAAAGGCAGCCCAGACCAGACCAGGACTGAGCTGACTGGCTTGCTGGCTGGCTGGCTGACTGGCTGGTCGGCCATGAATGGCAAGTGGCTTTCATCTTGCGAGAAGACACCCACAGCATCAGAGCCAACAACAACAACAACAACAACAACAACAGCAGGCTGGGCAATAAGGACAATAATCGCCTGGCAAAAGGGTCCTCGGTCAGCCTTGAATGGGTGGGAGGGAGGCGAGAAACGAGGCGACCCACAAACAACTTCCTTCTGGCCAAAAGGACTGCATCTGATTGCCTTCAGCTGGCTGACGTCCTTGCCAGCAATGCGGCTGTGGTTGAGCTCAGGCTGCCTGCCTGATGTCTGTATGTGTGAGCCAGTGTGTGTGTGTGTGTGTGTGTGTGTGTGAGTCTGTCTGAAGTTAAGCACTTGCGGCTGCTTCAAGCCCAAATTCCCGGCTGCCTCTCAGACAACGAGGAGGACAACGACAACGACAACGACGAGGACAAGGACAAGGACGTTAAGCGACGAGCAACCACTGCTGCTGCTCCAACTCCTGCTCCTGCTGCTCCTGCTATCCATCTTGACAAGTGGCTTGAGCATGTGTGTGTGTGGAACCCAGCATGTGTGTATGTGTGTGTGTGTGTGCTTTGGCTTAAATGTTTGCGACGGACAGACTTTTGGCTCTTGGGGTTGGGTGCAAAGATGGCGACGTTTGCTCGGAGAAATTACAGATAATTTGTTAAATATGGCACACAGAGCAAGTGCAGCAAAAAGGGGGGCGTGGGCCAAGTGAAAGTGCACACACAGGCGAAAGAAAAGGAGAGACAGAGAGAGAGAGACAGAGAGCGGGAGTGAGAGAGACAGAGAAGTAGCCAGGGCTAAGCTGCCACATGCCACACTACATGCCAAAAGCAAAGTGAAGTCAACTTGAATTGAGTCCGCGTCGAGAGTCGAGACATTTTGCCAGACAACTCTAGCTGTGTGTGAGTGTCTCTATACGTGTGTGTGTGTGTATGTGTGTGTGTGACGGCATTCCTCAAGGTTGTTGCTTGCGACATGATTTCAATTTTATTTTAGCTGCATGCCTGTGTGCGAGCATGTGTGTGTGTGTGTGTGTGTGTCTGTCTGTGTCTTCTATTAAAGAAATTTAACCTAGCTTGTGTGCTGCGCTCTCTGTTGCGCACACACACGCCTAGCGCCATCTCGCTCTGGCATTGGCATTGCACAGCAGGAAGCTGTTGATATGTCGTGTAATGTGGCAACATTATTTGCTTGATTGCTTTATTTTACGCAAAAGGTGTTTGTGGTTTGACACCCACACACACATACACACATATACATATACACACTCTCACGCACACACACACACACGCATGCAAATTGTAGCCATGAACATCTTGTGAATGTTTTTGCTTGAGCAAATGTTTGCCTGTCGAAAATTTGTGTGTTTATTTATTGGCTCACTTATAGACTGCCAGGATGTCTCGGCCGGCACGCCCCCTTGCGCCCCCCGGCCACCGGCAGTGTGTGTGCGTCTCGTCTCTCTTGGCCAAGTACAATTTTGGGCAAATATAAATTGCAAAGAAAATATTTTGTGTAAATAGCCTTTCGATTCATCTGCAATTGCATAAGAAACTGCATTTTGAGATTTATGGCCAAAATACACTTGTGGCTTGGGCTTGGCTCGGCTTGGCTTGGCTTTCTGGTCAGTAGACACACACACACGCACACACACACAAAGCACTTGCCACACTTGTGGCAACGTGTGAAAGTGTGAATATTCCTTAAGGATGCTTTTGCTTGCATAATTGCATGTGATTTATTGAGTTTGCCTGTAAAGACGGCTTGAGGTGAACTCAACACCCAGGCTAGACAAATACCAAATGCTAAATTCCCATCGAAAGTGAAATTCCTTACAAATCAATTCTGTTGCATCGCACCTCACTTATCATCATCAATCGTGTGTGTCAAAGTTATTTAAAGTCTCTGCATAACTAAGATAAGTCAAATTAGACATGAATTGTTTGCCATTTGCTGCTTGAGCAAAGTCTTTAATTGCTGGCCAATAACAAGACGGCATTTGTTTGCCATGGAAGGGCTTTGCTTGATGGATATGTTGAGCTGATGTTAGATGCATTGCTGCTTGACTCGAAAGAGTTTTTAGCGAGGGCTAGGTGGCTTCTGGTTAAAGAATTTTACCATAAGGAATGTAAACAAGATTTTAATTATGTTTAAGTCTATATAATTGACGGTGCTCCCGTTCTAGATATAAGCCTATTACAGAAGTCATTTCATTTCCAATCCTTCGCAGTAGAATTAGATATCAATATAAAGTTTATACGAAGTTCAAGAAACTCGATTATATTCTCATATTTTTAAATAAATACTAACATGATTCATAGCAGTTTCTTTATGGCTTCTTCATGACAATTTCCTAAGAATTATTTTTATCACATTTTTTTTTTTTTTTTTGGCAACATTTCATAATTCATAACCATTCAAGTTATATAAAAAAAAAAAACTGTTTTATT